TGAAGTTCCCTCATACCGATACATTCAAATTGACGGAGGTCGATTGACGATTCAGGTTATCGCTAGTTGTATCGGAGTGCTGTGCATTCAATGTATATAGTCATTTTAATGCACTTTGTAGTTTCAGTGTGGTTGAAATATTTGATGATTCTCGAATAATATTGACTGGAGTATTGTCATGTGCTATTGATCATTCGGAAATATTAATCGACTGTTTGTGTCAATATGCTCGCCCTTTACAGCAAAAAAATTACTGTTACAAGCTCCGTATTAATTCAGTCATTTGAAGAAATTTCAACTGTTTTAGGGAGTTCAAGATTCAGATGCTGGTTCTTACACGTGTGTAGCACAGAACATAGCAGGACGAGATTTTGGCAACATGAATTTGGATGTGGGAAGTATGCCTCTTCTGTTAATCTGTTAATTTCCCCCATTTATCCCAAGTAGATGCTAATTTCATCATATAAATTCAACTAAAGTTGTATCGTCCTCCTGAGAATCATAGAAACACTCGGAGTGAACCATCGAAGGAACAATCGCTAACTATATGCAATTTCAGGTTTACCTACGATAGTGCCTACTCCAGAGACAGTTCGTGTGAACATCGAACGTTCTACCACCTTACAGTGTCGTGCAATTGGACATCCGGTTCCTGAGATAACGTGGCAGCGTCACGGTGTTCCTATTCATACAATGGGTAATCGGGTGAAAACGCTCCCTGATGGAAGCTTGCTCATCAACAGTTAGTTTCCATTGTTTCACCTATATTTCTTGAGCACTCTTGATAAAGTAGGGTCTAAAAATAAATATTAAAAAGCTTTCAATACATGGAACGCTTCGCATCACGTTAGTTACTGCTCAGCTGAAATCGCGTTTTCGTACAGATTATTATATTTGCTCTATAGGATCACGTATTTGAGCAGCNTATTGCTATGGATACTTTCAGACGCACAAATGGACGATCAAGATCGCTATACGTGTACAGCGAAAAATATGTTTGGACAACAAGACAAGACAACAGTGCTTATGGTAACCGGATTAGGTTAGTGATTGCTTGTTATCACATCGACAGTTACATAATCCAAATGAATCCTTATTTGACTCAGATTCATCGCAAAACAACCCAATCTCTCGGTCACATCTCTTGAAAAGGAATCTATTTCAGTGAGTCCAGTCCTCGGACATGTGCCTCCTGAAGAGCAGTTGATTGAAGGCAAAGACTTGCGGCTATCCTGCGTTGTTGTCTTGGGTACCCCAAAACCGATACTCAAATGGTTCAAAGATGGAGTTCCACTTGAATCTTCAGATACCGTTATCGTACGTTTGTTTCGCAAGTTCATTTTGCAGTTTGCATCAGCACTTTATTGCCGCATACCGTTCTATCGGTTAATCATTGCTTCACATAATATGGCGTTTATAATTGATGGATTTGACTGTAGAAGCGACAATTCGAAGTGTATATTCAGATCGAAGGTGGTGGAAGTGGTCTTTTGTTGAGGAAAGGAAATCGAAGAGATGAAGGACGATACACATGTGCTGCGATATCACCAGCTGGCAACGCAACACTCAACATCAATGTGCAGTTAATCAGTCAGTCNTTGAATAATGTCGAACTGATATGTTCATGAATTATTCTTAAATTTTCTACCGCTGGTATTATTCTGCGAAGGTTGGGCGTATTGAGATATGTCGAATAATTTTTAGGTTCGTCTAGGAATACCGTGAGCCACTGTTTAGTTCCCCATCTATTAAGAATTGTTGTCGTGGAATTATTCGGAAGTTCATGTGTAAAAGTTTTTAGAAATGCTTTTGAAACGACTAAAATTGCGAATTGACAACGTTTAGGAGGTGAATAACGGAAAAAGCTTTGTTGAGATAAATGAGACAACTTTCATCTTTACCATTTCTTGAAGATGACTGGTGCTTAAGGTTGGAAAGATCATTTGTTCATTCTCAATAGGAGTACTGTCAATTCAAAAGAATTTTTTTATTATGCACCACATATTGCATGGCCACAAAAAGCAAATGTGTAGTGTGCTCTCACAAAACTGTCCTGTCAGAGGTTTTATTTTAACTCTAGTTTCTTTGAGTTGCTAAACTTTTGTCCGGGTTTCTTGAAACATTTCTGTTTGTCACATGAAGTGGCTATGACAGCACAATGTTTTTATGATCGT